TGCTACTGCTACTGCTACTGCTACTGCTACTGCTACTGCTACTGCTACTGCTACTGCTACTGCTACTGCTACTGCTGCTCTGCTGCTGCTGCTGCTGCTCCTACTCCTACTCCTACTCCTACTCCCACTGCTACTGCTACTGCTGCTGCTCCTGCTACTGCTACTGCTACTGCTAGTGCTACTGCTACTGCTAATGCTAATGCTAATGCTATTGCTGCTGCAGCAGATATCGTAGCAGTTGCGATCAACATATTGAAACATAGCAGCAGTAGCAATCGCTGCAGCGGTAGTAGCTTCAGTAGTAATGGTGGTGGCAGTAGCAGTCACACATGTTGGATTGCTCAGACTCGTCTGACTTAGTTTCAGCCACTGCTGATCCTTCGACTGGAAACCGATGAAAACACCCCAAACAGTATGGAGACAAAAAAGTGCAAAAACGGCAAAGGCGTGCGCACTGCGTGCAGGCTCATGAGCTCATCCCTGTCTTTTCCAGTGGTGACGTTGGGAACCTATTTCAGCATCACCCAGAAACCACGAGTCTGTGGGCCTAGCCGGCGGCCCCATGTCACTTCGTGTGCCACGCGCTCAGATGTCAGATGAAGACCCAGAACGAAACCGGATCAGGATAAAGGGCAACCCTAAGCAAGAAAGCTTAAGACTGAGATGAAGATAGAGGTTAGACACAACGTGAAGATGCAAGGAGATTGGGTCTGTTGCGCAATGATCGTTACTACTGAAAACAACACTATCCATGACTCTCAGACATGCTTTCCTGGTGTCCGGCTGACCGAGCTGACGGCCTGTTGGAGCTCCTTTTCGCGGAGTGCACAATGCCCACAAACACACCCATAACTGGCATCAAAGTGCACCACTGTAGGGGCACTGTCAGAGCAAAAAGTCCTTGGTGTAGTGGTTCAATGCTGCCACGATGTCATCATCCGCCTGACTCCGTGCCTGCGCTCAGAGGAGAATCCCGCCCACGCAGGACCCAGCACCAACGAGCAGGTCAGTTTTGCAGTCTAACAGGCTATAGCCCTGTGGCCACCGGATCCGCCTTAGAAGCTTCGGAAATGGAAGTCTTCAGTGCTGCGATCTCGGCATCGACCTGCTCCTTCCAGATTTTGACAGCTTGAGGCCCTCTGCACCTCGGGTTCTCTACCACGACCTGATATCTGTCTGTGGTTGAGCTAGAACGGACCTGTACTACTGTATGGATGGTTCGGGTAAAGTCTTCTTCTGCTGTGATGTCAAAGCCAAGGGAAAGTGTTGACAACATGTTGTTGTTCAGCTAAGGAAAACTGAGTCTGACTTTGCGCGAAGCGTGCCGTGCTCGCCCCATTTATTGCCGGGTCTCCTTGAACTTTTGCTGCTCCCGGTCCCGCTCTCGCACCTTACAGCAGCGTTCACAGTAAGTCTGAAAGACACATGACCAAACTGACGATCTGAGCGACTTAGCGGTCGACGCTTTCATCAGCATCACGCAGAAGCTGAGCCTGTGCTAGAAAGCTAGACATCATGCAACAATCGCAGCACCATCTCTGTGTGGAGTTGTGACCAGGCAAAAGCTGTGTTCAGGTACGAGGCTCCAACATACTTCCTGTCAGCCAGCTGATCGTCCCTGGCCTTAGAGCGGCACACCGAATGTGCGGCCCATGTCACTACCCGCTTACCCGCTCCAAGATCAAGATATCTATAGACATCCGTGCAGAGACTGCGCACAGGCTGGCTTCCTGCAGTTGAGGGTTCTGCCAGCTTCTCAGCCGTGTGGACCCTGGCAGACTCCAGCCGCTCGCGAAAAGTCTTTTCTCGCTCCTGGCTGAGAAAGTCGCAAACAAACTCATCCGCATGAAATGTCAAAGCCGGACGTTTTGCAAGTTGGGAACCGGTAACTTTGGGCAGCCTGTCGATGTGTCTGCTCCAGCTGGAAAGCCTTTTTGAATTCCGTCAAATCTTGCTCCTGGGCACGAAACCGTCGAGCTGTGGACGCCACTTCACGCACCAGCATTGGCATGATGGAGATGATTCAATACATTCAGAGCATGCGGACACGCACAGACGAAGACTTATGTATTTGTGTGTCCTTATATACAAAATGCTTGTATACATGTATACATCGTCCCGGCTTGCATACACAACTAAACTATGCACGTATATATATATATATATAATATCCGCCGAGCCACCCGGGGCAGCGCCCAGAGGCGATTTTTCTTGCTGCCCCCAGTCTGCCTGCCTAGTTCAGTTAGTTATAACCCCCCCAGGCCGCCTGCCCCAGCGAGCCTGGCTTCGTTTATCGAAGCCAGTTTATCGTGGTAGGGAGTACAGTACTTTCGTAATTTCACCCCACTGCAGCCCAATGCATGCCGTCTAGAAGACACACCGCCCGCGAGCCGCCCACTGTGTCCGCAGCGCAGGCCGGCCAACCACCCCCACAGCGCAGGCAGGCTTATACCCCCCAGGCCACATGCCTCAGCGAACCTGGCCTTGTTTATTGTGGTAGCGAGTCGTAGTAGTAGTAGTAGTAGTAGTAGTAGTAGTAGTAGTCGAGTACTTTAATTCCACCTCCAATGCACACCCAACCACCCCAAACCCCACTAAAAGACACACCGCCCGCCACGCACCCACAATGCCCGCAGCGCAGGCAGGCGTACTCCCCAGTCCGCAGGCCTCAGCGAGCCTGGCCTTGTTTATCGTGGTCGCACAGCTGATGAATTTCTGGATGAACATTGCAGGTGACTGTGGACGCCGGTGATGTTGATGCCGAACAGACCACCAACCGAGTTCTTCTCCTTCACTGCTTGATTTGGCAACTTGTGAAAGATTCGGCCAAACTTATCGTTCGACAAAACGAGGATTCTCGAATGGCTTTGAGACTTGGAGAAGACATTACAAGAAGTTCTCTGTACCAGGAGCCACGCAAAGCACATCACTTTTGATGCAGCTGTTGGACTTTAAGTTCAACCCCGCAACTTTTGAGCAAGACTTAAACGTTTGGGAAACAATCAAGTCCAAGTATGAACGACAATGCTTGCAGGCATGCTGACCGGGACATTTCTGCCGCTGGGACGTGTTGGCTTGGTGCTTCTAAGACGCTGCAGAGGCTAAGTTCCAGCGAGCCAGCTCTAAACCTAACAAGCCCTAATTACGGAAACGTTTGTCCTTTACTCAATGACTCTGCCGGCTGAGTATGGGAAGGGACGGGCCTCTTAAGGGGTTTCGTCAGGGCTGTCGGACGGGCCAGTCTCCTCCCAAACTATTGGGTGGGGGTCGTGTTGGAGGGCCCCCGGAACAGGCCTCCTGAGAGGTTCCCTCAGGGTTGTCGGCCAAGCCAGTCTCCTCAAACTATTCGTGGGGGTCGTCAGGCCTCCTGAAGTGGACGGGCCAGTCTCCTCCCAAAGGTTTCGGAACAGGCCTCCTGAGTTGTTCCCTCAAACAGTTGGGTAGAGGTCGTCGGGAACAGGCGTCTCAGGGCTGTCGGACGGGCCAGTCTCCTCCCAAACTATTGTGTAAACCATGCCATCAGCTTGGTTTGTGTCGGGGTTTCCCTTTTTCGGCCCAGGGTCGGCGGCAGTGGCGGCAGCCATTAAATCGGGCAGCGCTGCGTGCGCAAAAGGCGCGACCGCCAGCGCCGCCCAATTTCGAGTTTTTGTTTGCGTACTTTTGGTGTAGCCATGGGTAGCCACCAAAGGGCGCGCATCATGAGCATCAGCGGCTCCAGTCCGGGACCCGCGGCGCACATCATCAGCATGAGTGGGAGAAGGCACCCCACGTCCTTGTCAATTGTTGTTCTAGATGGTTTGCGGTTTGAAGCTCACGTTTATATCGGTATGTCTGGTGTCTGGGCTGCTACCTGCACTGCCTGCCGGTGGGCGCAGCCCCTAGAATATGTACACACACAGAGGTGCTTACACACACACACACAGACATATATATATATATATATGGAGATATACGTATGTACACACACACACACACATATATATATATATATATATATACACGCAGCTCTATGTACGCATTCATACATATACGTGTATGTATGCGTGTATATATATATATATATGTATAAGGAAAACTTTACATAGTTAATGGTGCAAGGATCTGCCAGAACGCCCAACACCAGCCTCTATGTATGATGCAAGAGAAACGAACAGGCCCAACAGGTTCTAAAAGGTGGATCATGTGCATGCACAGAGAGGACCACGTGCATGGAGGTAAGCCATTGTTTATGCGTGCATGCCTGTATACACGTTGTGTTTTTTTATACTGATTTCTTGAAACCTCATTGTCGCTTTTCATGCATGTGCATAACCATGTATGTGTATACATGTATGTACGCATGCATGCACGCATGCATGCATGCATGCATGTATGTACGTATGTACGCAAGCGTGTGTGTGTGTGTGTATCTATGTCTGTATATATATACACACATATTGACAGGTACATGTTCGTGCACACGCATGTATGCCAACGGATGCGCACATGTAGGCTTGGCATGTCTGATTTCGCAAGAACCAGTTACTCGAAACTGACAGGAGGCCACAACATCGGCTGAGCAAAAAACACACCAGACAAACACAGACATGCACTCAGCATGCCAAGTGCCAGGCGATTGCAGAAGCTTCCATGTCCATTTGCCCAATATAGCGCGCCCTTGACTGCTGGAAATCCTGTGCAGGTGTTGCTAGTCATCGTTCTCGCTTACCTGCCAATAAGCTTCATCATCCTCACAATCATTCCTTTTCTTTTATGACTCTAACTCTAATTAGCTACTTGCGATAAGCTTTCGGTTGAAGCTGTGATTGCACCGACTTGGTGCACCCTGACGACATAGTGCCGCCACGGCCTTCTCCACCGACGCCATCCGATCGTTGACGGCCTCAACACTCATCGTCGAAGCGCCACATATGAAAGCATATCTGAGCTTCCAACATCCAGAAGGCCATGAACATGTTCCAGCTGATTCAAGAAGGCAGCCTCCGCATTACCCGACCGAGGCTGAGGTCGACTTGGATCCAGGCCCTAAGCCCTGAGCTCTGCTGCGCCTCGAGCTTGCCTTGAGCCTGTGTGATCTTTGGCTGCAGAACCACCTGCTCAAGCTAGCAAGGCCTTTCACTAGGAGCCGCCTGGCAAAACTCTGTGTTCAAGCCGTCAGTAGCATGTGGACTGCACGCGGTCATCCACTCTTCACAGACGCCGATCAAGCCAGGACTTCGACCCTTTTCATGTCCTGCAGCTTTTGTGTTCGCACCTGCAAGCAGGTCACATTCGCCGATTAGACCATCTGACTAGCTGACTAGCAGTCTGCTAAACGAGAACCATGTAACATGCCCCGCCTGCGCCTCCTGCGAGATGCAGTCATCCAGTCGCTGCACCTTGGGTCATCGCAGCCAGTCGAGTCCACGTTGCCGGCCAGAAGTGGTTCTGTCATGGATCTGAACTGCACTTGTTGTGGAGCCTGTATTGTGGCAAGTCATTCCATGGTCTCGCCGTAAAGCGCCTTTTACAATCGAACTGCAGCTCGATGCATGCATGCAGAAATGTGCAATCCTTTTTGCGTCTTCGCCTTCCCCTGGCAAGCCACACAGCAGTATCAGGATGGAGGCATTCAATGCCTTCATGTCCATTAACCCGAAGACGCCCGACCCACTTCCTTGGTTCAGTCTCCAGGAAGCAGGAGGCGTTGCAAACAAGTGAGACTTTGGGGTCAACAGCAACAGCCAGGGCGCTGGATGGTACCGCCGACACCTTCGGTGTCGCTTGCACGCCAAAAGAGATGGACGCCTGAGCACATCTTCGCTCAAAATCCAACTTACACACCAGAACAGGCAAGCAGGCAGCCTTGACACCCCCTTCCTTCGCGAGGTCGTTTCGGATGCTCAACTGCACCTTCATGACGCCATGCCGACAGCCATGAACGCTCGAGGTGAGTGCAGAATGTGCGATGGCATTGTGGGATCACATGGGATCGGCTCTACCAATGTCAGTGCACTGATTGTAAGCAGCTTCACACTGCCTGCACGGGAAACAACGGGATGTTTTCCACGTACATGTGTCTGCTCTGCCGTGTTTTCTTCCGTCTACGGAAAGAAACTATTTGTTGTGCCTCCCTTTGTAACGGTACATGCATGGTGAGCTTTGCATCGTCCTTTACTGCACAGGTAGGGCAGCTGAATACTGCATGCAAGAGGAAAACTGGCACTAACATTCAAGACTGACAGCACGAATTACATGGACAGTAACAGTGACATATGTAAGCATTGCAGTAAATTGCAACAGTTGCAGTTGTCGCAATGGCACCAGTCACATAAGGACCGTGAATAGCAGATACATTGCTGCCATACCGATTGATTGTCCGAAATGCAGGTGAAGGCATACTCGAAAGAGGACCATTGGAGACTGATCTCCCAAGGCCACCGTTTTGCGGCGAGTTGCGACCCTCCCAACCGAGCATCATGAGCACCATGCGCTCCTCGTTTCTAAGAAAGAACTCACGTCGAAGCCGCCAGCGAATTGAAATTAGCAAGTTTCACAGCGTCAGGTGGACTTGCGCCTCGAAAACGCCTTCGAATTGGCCCGACCCCAACCCCTGTGAGCTCCGTATACGCCTGGCCGTAGACGAAAGCTTGCCTCAAATTTGAGGCAAGAGCCTTCACAATGAAGACGGTAGTGTAGAAGCAAAACAAGGCAGCAACAGTCCCGCACGCGGTCCCTTGTCTCCTTTTGTCTTGTCAAGAAGCTGTTGCAATGCGGTTGACCGGTTTGATACAGATTACTGTTCGTATGTTGGTGGCTCGGTACCCCTGCAACAGGAGCTCCGGCCGGCCTTGCCTCTTCGAGCTTTTGCTGGCTCCACGTAGCGGCTGCTCCCGGCACCTGCGCGACTTGAGCCAGCGCAGCTGGAGGCTCCTCGCCGTCTCTCCTGGGCTCCGGACTTTGTTCAGTTGTCTTCTACATTCGGTAATCACAATTTCGGTGGATAGGCTTGTTAGAGGATTACAGCATACACACCTCATACGCGTAAGACATACATACATATATATATATATGCTACCCCCCCCAGGGCCTACCTCGAAGCCTCTTCTTGTACAGTCTAGACGACGCTACGACT